GGGCAGCACATTTATTTCAATAGGCTGCCCTATGCACAGCATCAAAGCTCATGCTGCAGTTTGAGCTGCAAGCTTTGCACTTTTTTTTTACTGCATCGCAAGCGCTCCCACATCACAGAGATCTGCATGAAGGGTTAAATGTGGTGGCTGTATTAGTTTTCTTTTTTAGCCCTCCCCCCCCCCCCCCCTCTTTTTTTTTTTTTCCGCCCCCCCCCCCCCCCTTTATTTTCACTCGGTGATCCGGCCAGTAAGCCTGTTATGTTTCAACTTCCTTTAACAGACCAAGCTGTGTAGCAAGAGTGGCAGCACTAGCAGGGGTGCTTACAATGGTTAGAATTATATTCAATTATGTAACACTTATCAGAAAAGGGAAAAATAAACTGTTGCTGCAACTGTTAAAAAGTGTTAGCTGGAGTTTGGATTTTATTTGTTAGTAAAGTCCACCTAACACTTCCCTCCCCACAGGGTGACACTGCTGGCTCCATTACAGAGTAGCGCCACCCTAAGCCCTCATTCACACCTGAGCGACATTAAATATGCACATTTTCAGCGCGTTTTGTGTAGCACTTTTTGGAGTGCAAAAAGCACATTCATAAAGTCAACTGTTTTGCAAGCAGATGTGATTGGACAATTGTGCATAAAAAGTGCAAAGACGCAGCAACCGCACATTTTGTACATTTCCATTGAAGTCTATGGGGCCAAGAAGCACAGAATCTCCCAAAAAGAAGCTCATGTACTTTCTTCACGCGACAAAAAGCTCAGATGTGAACAATGGTTGGGTGCGCATTTCTTAATATTTGTTTTTGGTTTTAGATACACTTTAAAGTGCAAAATCACATTTCATGGTGTAAAACAAAATTATGTGCAAATCAAATTTCGTTTCATTTAAACCAAAATTTTCACTTATGTTTACACTATGAAATATAATTTGCACTAAGCCATTTAAATTTTGATGATCAAAAGGATTTTTTATTTACTTATTTGCTGAAAGGCAAAAAAAAACTGATTAAAGATGAACTTCTTGTAATAGAAATAATATAATAAGGGTTGCAGTAAGTACAACCACATGGATTGCAGGGCATCGAGGAGCTCCTAAGATATGTTAGTGGCTGATAAGTCACATACAACAGGGAGAGAAAAAAAAAAAAAACTCCTTTTGATAAATTGGTGTCTCTGAACCAGATCTACCAGAAGAATAGAAAGGCCTTTTGTGCTGCAACCTGTCTGGGAATACTTGGCATTCTGTGCGCCTAGAAATATGCAAGCTACAGGTGCAAGATGCGTTAATTTGATATCTGTGCTGCAAAAAAAAAAAAAAGGAAATGTTTTCAAACATCTACCTAAAATATTGTATTTTGTTTTACTTTTACAAGCAAATGACAGACAAAAATGTCAATACAATTGAACCAATATATGATTGTATAGGGATAGCTCTATCAGGCTTGAACTAATGATTATGCATCTCTTTTATGCCTAGATGTTATATATCCAAAACAAGACAACCCTTGCAGAAGAGCAAGAAAACAGACTTTTCTTGTTGTAGCCACAATGACGGAGACTGTCAACGCAAAATAATGATCTGACTTACTAACTTTAGGTATTGTTGCTGCATAACAACAGCTCAACTCAGCCCAGCATCTGATGTAGTCACTGTCTACCCTGCTGACAAACTGTCCATTATGTAGCCAGTCCATCAACACTAGAGGACACGCTGTGTGTCACCCAACTGAGCATTTATGACTATGCACTGCTCTGTGCTGACTCATTTATTTCAGCACTATACAAGGTACCTCTCGGCCTGATGGAGAGAGGAGTAAGGCAAATATTACTCTTGATCCCTCCACCTCTAGACTTAACAATCATTTTACTTTTATTCTTTGGGCATTTATATTTGGGAGGCTGGGAGTAATTAAGTCAAGTGTCTGCAATAAAGCGCAGTTACAATTTTGTTATGGAACCACCTAATCGTGAAAATATGTACGTTTGTTAATATTTAATAGATACTCAAGATCATCCCTACCCAGCGATAAATAGCTTTAATACTTAGTCTTCTGTTCTAGACCTCTTCCATGAAAATGGAAGATCTGCTTTACTCACAGCCCCCCGAATAAATATATCTGTAAAAAATTATTTAAGGCAACTGGACGTGCTGTATCTTTCTTGAAGATGTTTCCGCTGGTCATCCAACTAGCTTTCTCAAGGCTCAGGTAGATACACAGGTAGCTTCCTTTGGCTCAGGTAGAGTCAGAATTCTTTCTGAATTGAGAAACCTACTTGGATGACAAGCAAAATACATATGGCCTAAAAATGTAACGGAAAAAAATTGCCAAAAAAAAATATAAATAAAAACTTACTTTGGCCTAGCTTCTGATGTGTCCAAGAGGAGTGGGTAATGTCACTGTTCCCTCTGGGAGGACAGAGAGCTCCTAATCCCAGGAGAATGTGTTCTTGCAATGGGCTGAAATGTATTCTTGTGGAATTGTGAGGACCCAGCTCTCTCAGGAAGCAGAAGTG